TTATATTTTTAAAATAATAAAAAATTAAAAAATTAAAAAATAAAGTAAAAAAATTAGCGTTAAACGAAATCTAAATTGGAGTAGACTTGGTAAAAGGAAGATACAAGAGAAAATGCCACCGACCCTCCAAAAGCCGGAGGCAAAAGCATACACGCTTTCACCACGTGTCTCTCCCTGTGGCTTTGTACGCAATCAGTGTTAAACAACTGGGGCATATATTTTTATTTTTCAATTAACAAAACTAGACTTGTGCTTTTTTTTTCTTTTTTTTCTTTTTTTTACAAGTTACAATTATTTATGCGTGTTAATGGGGATGAGGAAAGGGATTCGTGGACTTCGAATATACAATTCATAAAATGTGAATCACCTTAACTCAAGTTTGATGTCATTGGATTGGATTGGCCGTCTGTGCTTTCTTTGTCTTTTTTCTTTGAATTCTTCTGATTAATTAATATTATAAGGTCTTGTTTAACGAATTTGATACTCTGCATACACAATATTATCCCTAAACATTATCAAACAATATTCATGTGACAGATAAAAAAAAAAAAGTGTATATTATCGATTAAATAAGTCTTAATGGATAAAAAAGGTCATAATTATACGCAAGTTTATGAGATATCCTATGATATGGCATCGTGCTGAATGCCTGAATCATTAAACCATTTCCCCATGTCTAATCACATTAAGTAAAATGGAAAACAAAACATACAATCTGCTCCTGTCTATGCCTTCCCCAAAGAGTATACAAGTAATCTTAGGCTTTTCAATTTCCTTAGCCACCAAGGAATTAAACATTGATTTTTCCATCAACTTTCCCCATTTCCTCTTACAATAAATGAAATGAAAAAAATCAGAATATCAATCAATCATATCATTTCTTATAAATTGTGGACCCAACAAAATAATAGATAATTTGAGTTGTCATTTACTCTTTATTTATTTATTTAAGAGTGGGTTGATTATTGTTTTTGCTTTTTTTCCCTTTCAAACTGAGGGACCCCTCAGGATAAACCCTACCCACCTGCAAGGAACTTACAAGGCAAGCAGCCACTTCTCCAGATTCTAGAAAGATCACCGTCCCATTATTAACAGACAATTAACCAAATATAGAATAACATGGTTGGTGATGACACGGTTGATGATGACACAGTTGATGATGGAATGGACATGATTGTTAGATAGAACAAGTAAGGCCAATTCAAAGACTACATTTTTAATTCAGCATTATGAACCATTAATATCTGGTTGACCAAGAAAAAACCATTAATGTCTAAAGATTCATAGCACAAATACTGTTAAAGAGGAACAGGGGCTAAATACAATGCTCTTTATTTATATATTTCCAAGCAGATAAACATGGGAACTCAGCATTCATTTTCTCACTTATGTTCTAAACTTTGGTTTAAGTCATTGCACTGTTTATCTTAAAGACACACCATGGGTTGAATTCTGTTAGGTTAGGTATTGTAACAAGGGTTTGGTTCCTATATCCAAATTAAAGGGTCATAAGTTCTCACTGCTTAGGTTGGCTTTGTACCAAATAGAGAAACAGAGTAAAGTCTGTACAGTTCAATACTCCATACTTGTGAAAATAAAAAAGTATGATCAAGGAGAAAGTAGAGACATATTTGACATACTTTCAGAATGTTAACAAACCAACCCAAATTCAAACTTCAAAGTTGAACCATAGATCATAGCACATCTTCTTCTTGACAGTTTACTAGCCAGGAAATCTGTATGTTTAATTGTTTTTTGGTGCATGTAATTCCCTTCAAAGACCACTGAAAACATCTCCATACTAAATGAAGTAAAATATGTACTGTTAACTGCACACGTTACCCTCTTATAATGCTTTGTTGAATCTCCTACTCTCTCTGGCAGCCACCATGGTTTCCAGTCCACTCTGTGCCACATCCATAACAAAACTGATACCCACATCTGCAACCACAATAGAAGAAAGCAAGTCAGCATACTAGTTATGATGCCTCATTGCCCATTCAGGTTAAATCCTATGTTACATGGACTAGGTATCAAGTATCTCACAAGGATAGAATTGAAGGAGCAATTTCCCTGACACCAAGACCCACTATACTAATCCCAATTGGCATCATATCAACCCAAGTACATGATATTGTTCTAGATTTTTCCTTTAAGCATCCAAAAGTAATGTCCATACAAAAATCTAAACTTTTTGTTGAGCAACACATAAAAATCTAAACTTGAGCTACCACGATTCTTGTCTTTAGCTACTCAACCTTATAACTAATTATGATGCACCATTGCCCATTTGAGCTATATCCTATGTTACATGAACTCGGTATCATATCCCACAAGGAAGGACAAATTCCCCTTGATACCAAGATCCATTATATTAAACCCAATTGGCAGCATATCAACCCAAATATCTGAAAATTTTTCTAGTTTTTTCATTTATTTTATAGCATCCAAGAGTCATGTAAAAAATCTAAGCTTTTTTTGGAAAACATACAAAAATCTAAGCTTGGACAACTATAATTCTTAAAGAGGAGGTGGCAATATTATAATTAATTTAAGCAAATTGACCTGCAAGTTATATGGGGGCAGCCCTCTGTTCTTTCCACATAGTATTTGCAGTGAGGACATCTCCCCCATTTCTCCTCCTTAGCAAGTTCCCTCACCATCAAATCCTCTCTGCCTCTCTCATCCTCATTCAGTTTTTGGAACTCCTCACAATCAATACCCGAATGCCACGGAGCATTGCACTGCGCGCAGAACAACCTATGGCAGAATGGGCACTCCGATTCCCTGATAACTTCTTCGCCGTTATCATTCAACAGCACAGCGGAGCAATCCTTGAACGGACAGTAAAGCCGCTCCGCTTCCCCAATAAGCTTCTGGCACAAAGCATCATCCCAGAGATCGAGAACCTCCTTTGGGAGTACAGGCCGGCAAGCGTCAAGATCCAGTACGGCTCTGCAACTCTCCCCAGGACACGTGACGACGGTTACGCTCTCTTCCACCCTCGTCTTCACATGCTTGCTGATGCATCCCGTACAGAACGAGTGGACGCAACACCCAGTGGCGAACATTTCATCGGCTTCTTTCCGTTCCACGCAAATCCCGCAGAAAGTTTGAGAAGATTCCCCGGCTTCTAGGGCGAAATCCTCCAGCTGCGGCTGGGGCCACGATGAGAAGGGAATGGAAATGAAATCGGAACCTGGTTGTTTGACTTGGGCGGCAGAGATTATTTGAGAGGATTCCCCTGCTTCTAGGGTGAAATTCTCCACCTGCGGCTGGGGAATCGATGAGTAGGAAATGGAAACGGAAACGGGACCTGGGTTTTTCACTTTAGCGGCTGACATTAAAGCCTCTTGCAATTGCAGCTCCTCGGCGTACATGTCGTCGTGAACGGGGGGAATTTGATCTGGGTCTTGATCGAAGAGTGCTGCGAAGTAGAAATCGTCGACGGAATCAAGATCGGAGGATGATATTTGCGCCATCTTCTCCTCCCAATTTCAAAGTACAAAGAGTGTTTTTCATAGAAGTGGTTGGTAATGGTGACGGTATGGCATGATATAGTGGAAATGGGATTTGCCCTTTTGAAGTTATTTCACGGAGAAAAGTTACTTCACGGAGAAGTTCTTCATTCCGATTGATGACTTCCTCAGGGGTTTTTTTTTTTCTTGAGTTGGGCTTGACTCATGCACTCTTTTTATACACTGCTTTTTATTACCCTTTTACATATTCTCAGGGACCACCCACCTTAACATTAAATTGTATCAAGGCTTTGGGTGCTTGCAAATAATTAAGAGGGTATTTGCATTATTGGTTTCCCAGTTGTTATCTATAATCTAAAATAAATAATCTTAAATTTCAAGGGATATACAAATCTAAGCTATCAAATTAGTAACATTTCTTAATTCAGGTAATGATATTTTTTGTATTTAATGGGATTAGTGGACTATTGAGGGGAAAAAATTTAATGCTATATATTGATTTTAGATTGTGACAAATTAAGAATCTTTTTTGTTTGTTGTTATGAATAATTGATAGTCTAATATTTTGTAATGGGAAATGATTTTGAGATAATTTTTTTGTTTGAATTTTTTGTATAACATGATATATCATTTACATGATTTGTTCTTTTTATTCATGTGAGTTCAATGATATTAAATGTATCCACTCATTTAATAACATGTAAAAATTATATCAAAAATAATATAAAAAATTATCTTTATAATACTACTTATTTTGTAATTGTTAGTTGATAATTTGATATTTTAATTGAAATTATTGTGTGTAAAAATATCTTTTCAAAAACTCTATTAGCTGCTTTTCATAAAAATAATATTTTTTCTTTTATAAAAAACTCCTTTAGTACCTTTTATATCCCTCGGTTTCTGCTAAATGATATGGTGCTCGTGAGTGTGAGACTATTTTTGAAATAAAATTACAGGATGTTAGAGCGCAATTCATTATGCTTCAATTATAATAATTTTAATTGTTGATAGAAGGATACACTCTCAAGTCTCAATAGTAAGTACCTACCTCATTCATCAATGATCCAGTGACTGTTATCTGTCTAAATGAATAGGAATAGACTTCACTTTTCTTATAAATTTGTCTATCTATCAATTATGTTTCCTAGGCTCAAGCCTTGGGGCTTCCCTGCCTTGTCCCATCCCTCATTCACCTCTACTTCCCAT